TCCTACATATTGTTTATACCTATCAATACATCTATCATCATATCAGCTATTGTGGGAGCGGTGTTTGATATCTGACAAGGGATAGGTTTTTGAATTATATTTTTCGCCAAATGTCTTGCACCATATAATTAATGATGTCCTCTCTAGGCCCGAATGCATGGAGAGTTTGCCTTCGTAACAATAAATTATTTAAAAATAATTATTGTGCCATTGAGGGCAAATATAACAGCTTGCTGTATTTATAATTGTCACTATGTAAACACATTATTGTTAAACACACCCTCTTAAGCACACTTATAGCTTTGAATAAGACCCAGGCCATCAGCCGAAACTGTGTATTGAGAGTACTTATTCTGCTGACGTACGGACAATAATAAACTATTATGTGATAAAAGTGTTAATTCTATTTCCATACTGTTTCTCTCTTCAAATATCATACCCTGGAATGTATTGCTATCTCTTTGTTACGACCTCTTAAATTTCCAAATATAGTTTGCATGTACATCTTTATTTGATTTGTCATTAAATTAATAATAATATTCCTTGCATTTGATATAGCGCCTTATCACATCTTTGAGACATCTCAAAGCGCTTCAAAGAATATAATGTGAATACTGTATATTTTGTGTATGAATCGCGGCAGCCAATTGTGCACAGCAGTGTCCCACAAACAGTAATGGATTGAGTGACCAATTTATTATTTATTTTCTTTGCTGTTCATGAAATGACTTCAACAAAATTCTTAACATTCAGCAGTTATTAGGAATAAATTTAATATTCAAAATAAAAACAACTAGCATAACTAAGAAATATTGCAACTCTGTTTATGTCTTGTGCTTGCATTGAAAATACTGGATAGTTGAGAGGGCAGCAAAGCTCCATTCTTTCCAGGTAGTGTGAGCTCAACAAGCTGCATTTCCAGCAGTGCTCTGATTCTTACTTGAAATATATATGAAATGGGTAACAAATCCCTTCGTGATTTTGTTTCCCCCATTTTTGTTACCACACTTCCATTATCTATTAAAATACAATAGTAGAAAGCAAACATATTGCTTTGATATTTCTACCAATACAGCTAAATAATAATAAAAGTTCCTTGCATTTTATATTGCCATCTGTTTTTGGTTACCTGAAAATGTTTGCTGGAGTACCTTATGAAGTAGGCGCAATGTTAATGAAAAGTTATATTCTCATAGGTTTTATTTTGCATCAAGTTGTATATTTCACAAGATTGGTTTGGAGAAAGAAGGTCCTTTGGCCCATCCTTCCAGAATCCCCCCCTACTGTCTTCCCATCACAACAAACTGTTTTGTAAATGGATCCAGGGTCCTGTCCTTCCTGACAACCTATTCCAGTTGTCAGTTACCGTCTGGGTAAAGAAATACTTACTGGTGTCTGTCTTCAATTGCTTTTGCAATTCTAAACCTAAATATTACTGGGAATCCAAACTCAACTGATTTGGCAATATAGCTCAGCATCCTTGCCTTATTTTTTGCTGCCTCACACTGTTTTGACATGGTGAGCAACAAGCAAATTAACACTCCTATATCTATGTCAGCTTTCCTTTGGCAAGTTCAATCCAATCCATGTGGTATATGTGTTTCCTATGTCTTACTTCCTGCTTTTTCACCTTGCTCCCCAACAAAGGTCCTCTGTTCCCTTCTCTCTTCAGCCAATTCTACATCCGTGTCTCTTCCATTTCTTCATTGGGAATGGTCATATTCTACTGATGTTGTTGCCACATCGAAGTGACTCAGAACTCTCAATCTTATGCAGGAATGAAGTGTATACCAGTTGTTTTTTCATATGTTCTTCCTGGCAAGATGAAATGTTATTGTCAGTGAAGAACATTTTCTCCTGACTCAAAGAGCAATCATTTTGTACAAGATTATTCTTCACAGCCAACATCTGTGTTTTTTAAAAGCTGTGTGGAATAATGGATCACTGACAGGGAGTCACAAAGCTGTAACAAAATCGAGTTTTGTCAACATAATAAACTACAACAGGGTTTTACTATTAACTTGTGTTAATTACAATCCTGTACAATGAAATGAAAAATGTCAGATCTACTCTTGCAACAAGACTAAATAATGGAGTAACATGTATGGATAAACGGTCATGAATACTTTTTCACTGTGAAGTTCCATCAACAGCAAAAATACTTGAGAAAGATTGTTGGAGAGCAGTTCTGATGAAGTTGATAAAGACACTATTTGGTGCACAATTGAGCCATTGCAGTTGAAAAGCTTGATAATAATCACTCACCTGCACCCATGAGTAAATACTCACTTAGGAGAGATACTGAAAGTGGTAATAAGCCTGGAACTATAGCCCAGCATGAGTTGGCACTTTCAGGGAAGGATGGAAAACATTTGAAGTAGGGAGAAGAGAGCTGTATTGAGAAAGAAACTTTGCTGCACTAAAAAAAAATGTATCTAGTTCATGGAATATAAAAATGCAATCTGTTTCAGGCCCATACTGTGGTACAATGCAGTACTAATTAAATTCAAAGATGTTGAAACAAAACATTTACAACAATAACAAATTGCATTTATATAGCGCCTTCGCGCAGGAGAGCGTCCCAGAGTGCTTGACAGTGGCAGAGACTGACACTGAGCCAAGGGGAGAGAGGGGGGAGGTGACAGTAAGCACAATCTAAAAGGAAGGTCTTAAGGTGGTATTTGAGGGTGGGGAGGGAGGGGGCAAGGCTGAGAGAGTTTCAGGGTGTAGTGGCTGAAGGCATGGCCACTGATGGTGGAGCGGATGGGACAAGGGACAAACAGGAGGCCGGAGCCAGCCGAGCAGAGGCAGTGGGTGGTGGAGTGGGGGGGTAAGAATATTGCATAGGTAGGAAGGGCGAGGGCATGAATGGATGTGAAAACAAGTGAGAGAATCTTGAAATCGATCCGTTCGATAATTGGGAGCCAGTGGAGCCTGGCAAAGGCTGGTGTGATGCAGGTACGGAGGTTTTGTGTGGGTGAGTATCTGGGCAGCGGAGTTATGAATTTTGTGTATGGTGGCGCTTTAGTGACATGTAAAGAGTTTCAGTTGGGAGTTGAAAGCCTATTGACTTCAGCTAAAGGCAGCCATATTATTACTATTTTTAGCTGCCTCTATCATGTGCTGTGTGCTGAATTCTTATTTCAGATATCTGAATTGACTTTTTCATAAACATTTATAAATTACACCATTAAAAAATAATAAGGCATCAAGTGCCACTGAAACTTTAGCTTCATGGGTTTGACAGCAGTTGTCATATTGTAATGGTATTTTTATATCATTTTATATTTAAAAAGCCTTTACTTTGCTGATATACTATCAGCAGCTGCTGATATGTTGTCAACAAAGACATAAGGGAGTATGGAATGAGAAAATGCTATTCAGCCCATTAATCTCGCCAAAGACCATGCAAAACCAGGCAGTTACTTTTTTAAAAAAGGAGTTAGTCAACAGCATCAGTTGTTTTTGTTAGGATTCTGTGCGACATACCCTCATTTGGGACCAAAATGTTTTTGGATTTGCATGAGACTTTTTTTTAAAAAGGCAGGGATTCAGAACTTCTACTTTCTAGTAAATATTGTTGTGTATTCACCAAACAGTGCCAATGGCCCAAAAGGGAAATGTTTTAAAATATTTAAAGTATCTAAAGTTGTGCAACGATCTCTGTTGCAGGGTGGATGCAACTTGCTGTCATAAAGAATTACTATTAATCTTGAAACATCGTAAAGTCAGCATCACAGCATCACAGCCCACTTACAATGTGGCGAATATAGACTTTGGCAGATTTACAGAGATTTGCATTGTTTGATGCTGTGGAAAGCATCATAGCATCACAGCCCACTTGCTATGATGCTATGATATATAATGCATGAAATATAATGAGTTTACTTGTCTGGTCTACTCTTAATTCTTACCTTTGAGTACAGTAAGATTTTAAATATTGAAGCACAAGAATTTTCTCACTATGCCCAACTATTCTCAGATGTCTTATGAATCTGATCCTCTCACTCGTTTTCAAATCCCTTCCTGCCCTCGCACCTCCCTACCTATCCGATTCGCTTATCCCCCACTCCACCACCCGCTGCCTCTGCTTGGCTGACTCTGGCCTTCTGTTCGTCCTAAGCCCCCTCCGCTCCCCCATCGGCGGCCAGTCAATATGCCCCAAAGCTCCGTAATTCCTTCCCTCAATTGCTCCGCCTTGCCCCTCCCTCCCCACTTTCAAATTACGCTTGAAGGCTTAGTTGAGGAAGGGTAGGAGGAGGCTCATGTGGAGCATAAACACCGGCATAGACCAGTTGGGCCGAATGACCTGTTTCTGTGCTGTATATTCTAATGTAGATTACTATCATCATCCCTTCACCATCTGAGAGATCACTATGTTTCACGAGGAATAGCAACAACAACAAAATGATATCCAGAGAAGATATTGTTTCTTCATCTGCCGCATTCTGAATAACACAGTAGAGTTCTCAGGAGTCCTGTAGCCTGCTTTTCCTACATGTTATCATGTAATTTATGTTCGGAAAATGTTATCAAATCATTATTAGATCAATAAAATTGTTAAATATTTTCATCAAATTTGCAATTTCATATTTTTTATTGTCTGAAATATTTTTGTTGCCAAATATCTTTTTTTATGACTCTCCTGAATAATGCATTTACTTTTGATCTTTTTTATTGCTTAATTGCAGACTATTTGGCACTCTTTGCCTTCTCTGTACTTTTCAATTATGATGCCTTTTCCTATTAGACATTTGTTTTTAATATTACTGCATTCTTTAATTGTACTTCATCTGATAACAATTGGAAAATATATGCATCTGCCTTTACACAGAAAATGTCTTTGGGAAGGGATGAAGTTTTGAAAAGGGTTGAGGATTGAGGAAGGTTGCTAAATAATAATCTTTAATCGATGCATTTGATACAGTTCCTTTCATATCAGGAGAATGTTTCAAAGCAGTTTCAGGATTTTATTCACTTATTGTCTTTTTTTATTTCAGAAGTCCTGTTGGCCAGGAATCTACAGTTAGCAATTTTGAATGGCATGGCTCTTCAAATTATTTCCGAGCTTCCAACAGTCACCCAAGAGCCCACCAGCCTGGGGCAGTGCAGGAGAACACAGTGATGCTGGATGTGATGACACTGCGGCATATGGTACATGATTGCACATCTGTAAAAACCCAGATACTCAAACTGAAACGACTGTTGCAACAGGTATGCTATTCTACATGGTACAGTGTTATTTTGGCTTCTTTGGTAAAGGTCTGCATCCAAAGACTAGAATTGCGAACACTAGATTGTTTACATTGCCTCGTAACATATTGTGACTCCTAAAAAATACTGTACTGTAATATTTTCAATACTGTGTTTTGTAATTATTGTTCACATATCTCCAAGAAAATTAGTTTAGTGCAGCAGTATCTCAGGAAGCAGCGAAGAATTAACAATGCAAATTATATTTAGATAGTGGCTCTCACATTTGGAAGACGTCTCAAAATACTGGGTGAGACCTGAGCTGGAGGTTGGAACTGAGAGGGATGGGGAGGGAGGGGTAGATAGCCAAAAATGTTGTCAAACGGTTATGTTTTCAGACATGCTTTGAATGAGGGGTGGGAGGGACACTGGAATGGAGTTCCAGAAACAGGGCAGAATGGCTGAAAGCCTGCCTGCTGATAGTGGTGCTGATAGGGCGGGGATGTGAAGCAGAGGTAAGATGGGGCAAGACCGTGGAAGGATTTGAACGTGAGAATGAGGATCTTGAATTCATTCCTCTGGGGGTGGGGAGCTCGTGGAGCCGAGTGAAGAGGGGAGTGATAGGCTTGTGGAGCCTGATATAGGCAGGACACGGGCTACAACGTTCTCCATCTTGCGTTGGGAAGAGCTGGGATGTCCGGAGAACAGAGCGATGGGGTAGTCAAGCCTTAATATGATGAAAGCATAGATGAGGATCTTGGGGGCCCTTAGGAACAGCTAGTGGTGGAGGCAGGCATTAAGTTTAAATGGCTCATTTTAAGAACCAGTAATAAACTTGTGCTTTACAATATTGTGATGTGAAGTTGAAATTGCTGTATAATTTGTTATAAAATGAGAAAATAAGGTTAATGTGACCATCAAAAGTCATTTACAACAGTGCAAGGAAATTGCACAATATACATTAGCCATTCTGAATAGGTGGAGATTTAGGCAGTAAATGAGCAAAATGCAATGTAAGATGGAATACTCAGATCGTCCTGTTGTAGATTCTGAAAAGCAAAATTTGGAGTTCATGAATGTCATTAGATTCGAGTTGTTTTTAAATGAAGAACAGAAATATATTAATTGGATCATGGAAACATTTTGCCCTGATTTTTCAATAATAATGCATTCTTGTGGCATATAATATCATCATGTTCAAACATTTCCTAAGAGCTACATAGAATTATGTTTTAGAAGGCACAAATGCAATATTAATGTGGTAGCCATTAACATTTTGGGATACCTTATGTGGAGCGCTTACATGACTGCAATTTTCCTTCATTCAAATGGCTCATTTTAAGAACCAGTAATAAACTGGAGCAAAAGTACACCATAAGTTGGTGTCATAAGTTGTTGCAAAAGGATTTTCCAAGTCCTTCAAGCTAAAATTGTGCTTTTATGACACTAATAAAATTTGCTGAATTGATGTATTAAGGAATATGACTAACGGGTAGGGCATTGGGATCAAACAATCTGCCAAGATCTAAAACTGGTGGAACAACCTCGGTGGATTGAACAGCCTCCTCCTGTTCCTTTTCTACTTCGTTTTCATTGCTCCTACTTAGAGTATAATTGTCACAATGGATTTGTTGTAGCTTTTTGTGGGAGCTAATCATACAGGGAATTATTGTCTTGAACCCATATTATACCACACCTTGGCAATGCTCCATCTAATTTGAATTGTATATTTCTACTCATGATCCAGGTGGCAGTTACAGTCCATTGCCCACTTCTGAGACCTCATTGTTGATGATACTTTGACCTCATTAAGTGAATGATCTCTAATGACCATTTTTTTTTCAGGTTTGGAGTTGCTATCTCATGAATACAAAATGCTAACTTGTGTGCTCCATACACAAAGTGAACTTGTGCAATACTATGGAATTAAATGAGACTAAAACACTGGCTGCTTTTTGCCAGAAAATGTGATTTTTTTGCTTTTGGAATTGGCTAGACAATGACCTCCAAGTAGTTTTATGATGATACTTGGGCATATTTATCAGTGTGGGTGTAATTTACACAATGTTAGAGGCATTTAAGTAGTAGTGCTGATCTGCAGAAATCTTAAGTGTTGCTGTTGCACATTTATTATCATCAACAAACAACAAAATTACATTTGTATAGCGCCTTTCACGTCGGGAGCACGTTCCAAGGCACTGGACAATCAGTGTTTCAGACCGAGCTGGAGGTCGGGATTGGGGAGGGTGGAGGGCAGGGGGTGAAGCAGGGAAATCGAAGGCACGGTCGAAGAGGAGGATCTTGAGATGGGTCTTGAAAGAGGCAAGGGAGGGGGCGAGGTGGAGGGACTGCAGGATGGAGTTCCAGAGGGTGGGGGCAGAGTGGCTGAAGGTGGGGCGAGCGAGGCGGGGGACATGAAGCAAGTCGGAGCCCGCTGAGCGAGGGAGCGGGCAGGTTGATAGGGGGTTTAGAGGTTGCAGAGGTAGTGAGGAGCAAGGCCATGGAGGGCCTTGAAGGTGAGGATGGGGGTGATAGGGTTATGGAGCCTGGTGCGGGAGAGAACACGGGCTGCAGACTTCTGGATGATAAACTCTAATCCTTTTGAATGGGAGGCTGACAAGCAAGGAGTTTGCATAGTCTGAATGTTATGAGGGGGTTTTGGCGGCCTACGGTGTGAGATAGTGGCGGTGCCGGACGATATTGTGGAGGTGGTTGGGGTAGAAAGGATAGTTGAGGGTCAAACAAGATGCCAAGGTTCTGGACTGGCTCAGTGAGGTGGAGTGTGCATCCTTGGATGGTAATGCTATCAGCGCCTGAGGTGTGGAGGCGCTGACAGGAGCCAACCAGGAGGGCCTCAGTCTTGTTGATGTTCAACTGTAGAATGTTAACTCTCATTCAGGACTTGATGTCTGACAGACATTCTGGCAGGACAGCAGTGGTCCTGGAATCGAGGGTGGAGGCAGAGAGGTAGAGTTGAATGTCATCCGCATACATATGGAAGTTGGTCCCATGTTTGTGGATGATGTCACCAAGAGGGAGCATATAGATATTGAAGAGGAGGGGACCAAGGACAGAGCCCTGAGGAATGCCGCATGAGATGGTGTGGGAGCTACAGGAGAAACTGTTTGTAGAGTTGAAGTGGAGACAGTGTGAGAGGTAGGATCTGAACCATTTAAGGACAGAATTTATAGTGGTATATGCAGTAATTATCAAACCCACTTCTACTCTTAATCCCACACTGCCATCTGCATGATTTTCATTAGTGTAATTTTGTCACAACATGCATCCACAATTTCAGTTTATTAATTATAGTTCTGAAAAAAAATCATTCTTAAAGTCTGAAAGAAAAAGCAATGGTATTATCCAAGGTTCCATCCATAGCCAAATGGTATTATCCAAGGTTCCATCCATAGCCAAATGGTATTATCCAAGGTTCCATCCATAGCCAAAATATGTTCCCAAAAGTCCATGATTGAACATTGTCTTGATTTTGCTACTGATTAAGAAATGATTGATGGCTAGATTTATAGCTATTGGAGGGATAACAATATTGAGAACAACCTGCAACTCTTCCTTAATAGTCCGACTGATATGCAGTCAGTGTTTGGTAGAAATAATGTGATACAGTTAGCGTAAACAGAACAGCTTGTCTTGGATAATTTCCAACGTCCCGATCGCCATAATGAATAGACTGAGACCTCAATACAATATAGGGAGATGTTTGTAAATGTTTTTTTGCTGTTTCCATGACATTGGCATTTTAGTAAAACAATGTCAGGTTTCATTAGAAATTGTTTTGTGTTTTCTTTGTGCATGGGGGTGCATGGTTAGACTCCCTGAATTCCTCTTAAATATTAAAAGTGGAACTACAATAAATAAATGTAGTTTTCTTAAATAGCATTGCAGTTTTGAATGTTCACATGATTCTTTTTATAAATGAATAAATTCTGACTCTATATCAAACATTTGATAAACATAGTACATATTTTCCTGTTGATTTCTATGACAATGGAGTGTGACGGGAAATGGTTTTATGGAAGAAAGTTAGTTCTAGAAAGGAAATCTAGATCAATGTGGAGATTTTTAATGTATCTGAGTCACTAAATTGTCTGTTGCAGACAATATAAAGTCTAGCATCAACACCTAAGTGGGTTGCAAATTAGCAAGAACTGTTCCTTGAAATCATTGTGCATTTGAACTAACAATTACATAATTGATTATCTGTTTTTGGAGTCCTGCAGTGAAGATTTGATACTTTGCAGACTTCTTGTATTAAATCTACGAGTTACATTCTGAACGACAAAATGATTTATTGAAATTATTATGACCCTTCTTATCATACATTTAATGAAAAGATAAATTCAGAATAAGAATGGAGCTAACCCAGGACATGTGCTCTCTGACTAGTAATACGGCGAAGGAATGTTTACAACTGTCAGTGAAAAACTTTCTGGCTCTGCATCACACTCTCTCTAATGAGTTTGATTTGTTCAATGAACAAATATTTATTCAGTTCCTTAACTTTTGTAATGTAGATGCAATACGACAGGTTTAAGGTTCAGTTTTCCACCTGCCACAAATCTAGCCTGGAATTTCATTAACTATAAATTACAGTAGAGCTAATTCAGTTAAATCTCGCTCTTACAATAGGGAGTGTTCTTTCAGTCAACATACAGTACTTAGTTGCAAATAAACATCATAAAAAGACATTTTACCTTGTTAGGCCCCTGCTGTAATTATAATACAACTTGCATTTATCGAGTACCATTTGTTAAATGTGTCCGACAATGGCTGACCGAAACAGAAGCATTTTACTCTCCCCATGTTAAAGCATTTTTGGACAGAGTAAAATGCTCTGAGCCCCAACCTCAGAGCTAATGTTCCTCCTTTCGCCCACAAAATATATAGTCAATTCACTTCACAGTATACTTTGTGAAGTGCTTTGAGACGTTTCGAAGACTTGATAACAACAAAATGACATTTGTATAGCGCCTTTCATGTCGGGAGGACGTCCCAAAGTA